TCTTTTGGTTTACTTTGCTGTTCATTTTCTAGCTTTGGAGAAGGAACTTTCATCCACCAGGAAGGGTGCTACCAGCATGTAGTGGGCAGAAGCCAGAATGCTGCCAGTTATCCCACATTGCACACAACAGTCTCCCATGGCAAAGAACTGATCCAACCCAAAATGTCAATGCTGCAAGGCTGACAAACCCTGGTTGAACCTACTAATTCCATCCCGTTGATTCGCTTTTCTTCTTCAGGAATTCCATGCACATGTATATTGTTTCTTCTTCCATCTTAACCAGTTTCACTCAGATATTTTTAACTGACTCTTCATCTCTTTTTTTCTGTTGGATGCTTTCTTGCCTTTCCTCAAAGTCCCTTATTAAAAATTTTTAAAAGATTTATTTTAGAGAGAGAAAAAGAAGGTGAGCAAGTGTGTGAGTGGAGGGAGGGGAGCAGAGGGAGAGGGAGAAAGAGACTCTCCAGCAGACTCCCCATAGAGTGCGGAGCCAGACGCGGGGCTTGATCTCACAACCCCAAGACCATGACCTGAGCCAAAACCAAGAGTCAGATGCTTAACTGACTGAGCCACCCAGGTACCCCTGTTCCTTCTTAAAATTTTATTTGAATCTCTTTTCCCTTTCGCACAGTGTAATTCTTATTTTCTGAATGAAATTTCCATTTCTTTTATTTTTTCACTGTCAATTTTATTTGTATTTATTTTTTAAATTTCTGTATGAAGACAGCTTTTCATATCCTCAAATGATTTTCTTCTGTTTTGTAGTTGATTTGGTATTTTGTATTCCTATTATTTTGGTGCTTATTTTGATTTTTCTTTTGACTCTTATTTTCATTAAAGTATTTTGATTCTTATTTTCTGTTTTGTTAGTTTCTTTAAACATTTATCTGGTTTTCGTCCATTCATTTGATGGATTTGATGTGGTTTGCAATATTTTTAGTTCAATGCTGCCCCCTTCTGTCAGTGTAGCAAAGTACAGCACTTTCTCTAATGAAGGTGTTTTCTCATGGCAGGTGATTGTTACCAGAGGGGTTGTGTAACTTCTACTCAATTCATTCCTTCTGTCTTTCAGAATATTAATTGTTCCTCTTGCCCTCATTTTTTTTTTCTTTTCATCACCCAACCTCCAAACGGTGACTCTTTCCTTTAAACTTCTCTTACACAGTCAGTGCTGTTCAAAGACTGCCACCTCAAATCATGGTGCTTTTTAATTCCTTCTCTGCAGAGATTTCATTCTGTTACAACATATTCATTTAAGATTACATATTTTCCTCTAGGCATTATTGTACCTCATTCCCACACACTTTGCTACTATATTACTATTATCATTCAGTTCAAGATATTTTCTAGTTTCCTTTATGATTTTTCTTTGGCCCATGACTCATTCATAAATATATTTTTACATTTCAAAATACGTGATTTTCTAGGGTGTTTTGATGTGTCATATTGTCTTCTGGTCAAAAAACATACTCTGTATGATTTAAAATATTTGAGTGATGTATACAATTGATGAATCACTATATTGTACATCTGAAACTAATATAACACTGTATGTTAATCACACTGAAATTAAAATAAAAAAATAAATAAATATCTAAGCCAAAAAAATTTTAAAAATAAATATTTGAAAAATTTCTCATTGTTTTATGGTACAGTATGTGGTCATTTTTATTAATGGTCCTTGCAAAAACATGTATTTATATATGTCTATTAGGTCAATTTGTTAATTGTGCTGTCTTATTCTACTATATGTAGTTTTGTCTATACTAAATCCCCCAATATCCTGTTCTCCTGTTAATTGCCACACAGTTTACAATGACTCCTATCAGCAAGAGTCATGAACAGATATTTCAGTGCCTTTACAGATTAAAAAAATATATATATATGTTTAGCATAGAGGTCACCCAAATCCATCTAACATTTTTAATGTTATATCCTAATAAGTATTGAATCCTTGCCAAATCAACTGCTGCTACATGATCGGTGTAATTTCTGTATCTTTTCTGGAAATCACATATAAACATAAGTAAGAATAAGAGCTATGTTAGAGACAGAATGAACAAGCAAGTAAACCAATGGATCTACTGTTAAAAAGCTTTTGCACAGTTAAAGGAAACAGTCAACAAAACCAAAAGACAACCGACAGAATGGGAGAAGATACTTGCAAATGTCTTACCAGATAAAGGGCTAGTATCCAAAATCTATAAAGAACTTATCAAACTCAACACCAAGGAACAAATAATCCAATCAAGAAATGGGCAGAAGACATGAACAGACATTTATCCAAAGAAGACATCCAAATGGCCAACAGACACATGAAAAAATCGCTCGGCATCAGGGAAATCCAAATCAAAACCTCAATGAGATACCACCTCACACCAGTCAGAATGGCTAAAATTAACAAGTCAGGAAACGACAGATGTTGGCGGGGATGCGGAGAAAGGGGAACCCTCCTACACTGTTGGTGGGAATACAAGCTGGTGCAGCCACTCTGGAAAACAGTATGGAGGTTCTTCAAAAAGTTGAAAATAGAGCTACCCTATGACCCAGCAATTGCACTACTGGGTATTTACCCCAAAGATACAAATGTAGTAATCTGAAAGGGCACCTGCACCCCAATGTTTATAACAGCAATGTCCACAATAGCCAAACTACGGAAAGAGCCCATCAACAGACGAATGGATAAAGAAGATGTGGTATATATATATATACAATGGAATATTATGCGACCATAAAAAAAAATAAAATCTTACCATTTGCAGTGGATGGAACCAGAGGGTATTACGCTAAATGAAATAAATCAATCAGAGAAAGACAATTTTCATATGATCTCACTGATATGTGGAATTTGAGAAACAAGGCAAAGGATCATAGGGGAAGAGAGGAAAAAATGAAACAAGAAGAAACGAGAGGGAGACAAACCATAAAAGACACTTAATCTCAGGAAACAAACTGAGGGTTGCTGGGAGTGGAGGGTGGTGGGAGGGATGGGGTGGCTGGGTGATGGACATGGGAAGAGGGTATGTGTTGTGGTGAGCACTGTGTATTGTGTAAAACTGATGAATCACAGACCTGTACCCCTGGAACAAATAATACATTATATGTTAATAATAATAATAATAATAAAGAAAAACAAAAAAATCCCAATGGATCTACTGTCAAAAAGAAGGGATATAGGAATACAAAATCACATCAATTTTTCACTTCTAAAAAGTATACTAAATTAGAATTGACAACAATTCTTTTAAAATATCTTTTATTGTGAACTTCTCAGCAATTCACAAGATCTGTCACATTCACCTGTGTCCTGTGGGTATTGCACTGATACGGTTGCTGGATAATGTGTGGATAAGATTGGTCCTCCTCTTGTAGAGACAAAGATTCTGAAATCTGTGTGTTCTTACTGTTCATCATCAGGGAGACAATTAATTCTTCTGAACCTGTGTCCAAATCTTCTCTAGCAGTATCTGAAATTTATGCCTCCTCATTTTCTGGTGGTTCATATTACTGTTCATCATCATTTTGGTTTATCATAGATACCATAGTATAATCTTTCATTGGTGTCTGGATTTTTCTTCAATACACCCATCTTTTCCACTTCCTGATTAGTCTTTATAGGCTGCCACTTCTATATGTTATGTATCTTCAATTTCTTTATGAAACCTTTGTTTTCAGAGCCTCAAATCTATCATTTACACCATTTTCTCAATTACACCATTATCTCAAAGTAAATCTTTATAGTAGCTATTCTCTTGCTGGTGTGTCTTTTTTCTATTTCTGTTCTCTACATGTTTAGTAATATTTCATAAAGAAGGGACTAAATTTGCTATTTGACTTCATCTTTAGTGTTCTTGGAATCTGATTCAATGGGAACCTCTCTACTAATATTCCTCTATTCTATCTCTAATATCTCTAATATTTACCTCTGTGGTAAAATTAGGATGGGTAATCACGAAGGAAGAGATGGGGAAAGTAGAAATAAATCTAACACTACAACCGCAGATAAGTTCGCAGGCAGATCAATTTTCGGAAGGGACTTACAGAAATGGAAACTGATTCCTTAAAAGTGTTCATATCTTTATTGCTAATGGGTATGGGGTTTCTTTTGGGGGTGATGAAAATGTTCTAGAATTAGATCGTGGTGACATTGCTCAATTCTGTAACATAAGAAAAAAACACTGAACACTCTAAATGGATGACTTTTCTGTGTATGAAATATATCACAATAAAGCCATTTTTTTTTTAGGAAAGAAAAACCTTGATATATCTGTATACCCCTTGGGGTCTTCAAGTCATTTAAATATCAGGCTTTAGAGACTATACAATCCACATAGAAAAATGGTTAATAACACAATCCTTAAATTTAGAAAGATGCCTAGGTTTAAATTTTGGTTTCATACTTACTGTGGGGTTAAAAGTCAATTAGTTAATGTCACTGGGCATTAGCTTTCTCAGATAAAGTGGGGATAACAACACTGCTTTGTCCAGAAGCAGGGATGGAAACAGGATTTTTGCTCAAGTCGTACACTATAGGAGCACTCTAGGTGAAGAGTAGGGTAGAACCAGGGCAAGAGGCTAGTGACAATGTGGTCTCAGCACGATCCAGCTTAGATTTAGATCTGTTTCCTCAAGGAAGTCGGTCAGCCGTGGGCCAAAGTCTGAGGGGACATTGGGGCAGGATGCAGTCCTCCAGGCTGGTGGCTGTCTGCTGTTGTGTGGCCACCACTCAGTGCCCCTGGAAGAGGATGCCCTTGCCAGTAAAGGGCGTCTGGGTTGGGCACTACCAGCATTTACTACTCACTCCTCCCCACAGTCTCGTTGTAGGAAGGCACAAGACGAGACACAGTACACCATCACTGTGAAGGTCCACACAGCTCCTGGCATGTAAGAAGTACTTTATAAATGGCAGCTATTTTTTTGCAGGACATAAAATATCAGACACACGGACAAAGAAATTAATTACAAATATTGTATAGCGCCATCCAGTCAGGAAATCTTACCGTACATGTTGCTTCTTCATCAAATGAGAACGTGTGATTTACTGAGCATGCTTCATGACGAGGTGGTAAAGGAGTAACTTTGAGTGGGCTTGTCCAACCTGAAAACAAAGATGTATGTGCTTTGGGTTAAAAATGTGATAGAGGTTTTTTTTTGTTGTTGTTGGTTTCTTTTTCTTCCACCAGAAATATTTCCTATGAGAAAGCCACACTGTGTGATGTGAACTGACATTTCAATGGATTATATAACAACTTTTCTTAGCAGTGAGAACTGAATAGCTCTGGAATTTACATGTTAGGATAATGGTAGTAGTGCAGAATTATTTGTTATTACTCATTATTTGAAGAAGTCTGTTGAGTACTATGAATCTGCAGATGAGCATGTAGATGTATTAGGGATGGTGGCAACACAGAGGAGTCTGGTTACTAAGCAGATAAGTTATCTAATGATAGAAGTCCTAAGAGACTAGCGAATATGCACACAGACTGCAACAAATATTTACTGTGTTGTAAATGGAAGTAGATGCGTACACAAAGACAGAAGAGGGGGTTCCTGGTTTTGAGATGCTCATGAATAAGTGGAAAATACAGTCATGTTAGTAGATAGCTTCAGGGTCGTGTAGCAACTGTAATAATACTTGTTCTCTGCGCGCTGTGGGAGTGCAGAGGAAGAATACTAGCCCAGCCGGATTGTGGGGAGTTAAGAACATCTTCCTGAAGATAATATTTGATCTAACCTTGACAAAGGGGAAGTCAGGAAGATTAGAGTCTGAGAAAGCCTCGATACACCACTGTTGACTTGGAAGACAGAGGAGGCCGTGTGCGAAGGGGCACAGGTAGCCTCCAGGACGAGGGTGTCCCTGGCTGTCCAGGACGAGGGTGTCCCTGGCTGTCCAGGACGGGGAATCTGACACCTCCAATGCAAGGAACCGGGTTCTGTACAACCTGAATGAGCCTCAGGTAGACACTGCAGGTTTGGGCAGTTAGATCCTGAGTAGAAAGCCAGTTGAGCCTGCCCCGTCTTCTCACAAAACTGGGAGCTAATAAATGGGTTCTGTGTGGGGCTGCTGAGTCTGTGGTACCTTGTCACAGCAGCGAGAGAAAATACAGGCAGAGGCAAGAGGCGAAGGCAAAGTGAGAGAGGCAGTGCTGAATCCCACGATCATTCCAGGTTTGAGAATAAGGATAATTCTGTCTGTGACCCAGCTGACTGAAGGAAACCCTCAGAAGACTATTGTGCCAACAGCAGCAGGATGGCACTTTGAGGTTCCACTGAAGCAGCTGCTTTGGAAAAGGAGGAAAATAGGAAAACAACAGAACCTAAAATTTGATTTTTAGGCCAGAGTAGGAGATAGGGAACAGGACATTGAATTACAGCTATGCACCTCAGGGCAGGACATCCATGCCTAAGTATGATGATGTCATTTCCCTTACCTCGTTTCAGTGTCTCCTGCTGCCAAACAAAGCACGCCAAAGCCGAGCATCTTAAGCAACCATTCGTTGTCTCCCAGTACTCTGAAGCTGGTCTGGGTGTTGTAGGTCATGTGCTACAGCTTGGGATTGCTCAAGAGGCCCAAAATTATCTCACTCACTGGCTGGCAAGTGGGTGTTGACTGTTACCAGGGAGCTGAGCTGGGTCTGCTGACCAGTGCCTTGTTTTTTGTTACTTTTCTTTCCCTCTATGGGCCTTTATAGAATTTTCACAAAATAGTGACTGAGAATCCAGAGGAAGATCCCAAGAGGTCCAATCCCAATTTGCAAGTACAAAAAAAAAGTCTCCACTTGCAGCATGGTTGCTAATATAGGCGAGAGCCCAGAATCAACATGGGAAGGAAACAGACCTCATCTCATGGTAGGAGGGTGGCAGGCACTCACAGGAAGGAATGAGCTGCCAAGGGTCACCTTTGGGACCAGCGATTACACACCTCCTCCTCATAATGCACCATCTCATTTCACCACTTTCACACCACCAAACAAATATCAAGTCCTTTGTAAAGGGAAGCACTGTGCTATTTCTTCACTTATTAGAGATTTAACATGTTTGAAACTGTGATATTTTCATCGTGAGTTGGTTTTGTGTGTAACCCATGAAATTGAGTGAGTTTGGAGGGATCTGCCATGAACACTATTTTTCCATAGGCCCTATTATTTTTATTATAAAACATTTCTACAATGTTTTAAAGAAACAAAACTTTAACAGAAAGATTTAAGGACTATTCTATGTATATTTTCTTATTCATGTGTTTTCTCTCCTCTAATGGTTAGAAATACATTTTTCAACATCTAAAATACCGTCGTTAGTGGTCTTCTCTGAGTTTTCTTTCTCCATATAGCTAAAGATAGGTCAATTTTGTTATTTTCAAAGAACCAGGTTCAGGTTTAGTTGATTTTTTCTACTTCTCTGTTCTCTACTTTATCTATATGCACCAAACATAGACCTTCAATATATATGATGCAAATATTGACAAAATTTAAGGGAGAAGTAACTCTACACTAGTAATTGGAGACCTCAATATTTTACTTTCAGTAATGGATAGAACAACTAGACAAAGATCAATAAGGAAATAAAGAACTCAAACAAAAATCTGTCACAAAAGACATATACAGAACGCTTTATCCAACAGAATACCCAAGCAGAACACATATTTTTCTCAGGTGCACATGGAACATTCTATAGAACAAATTATATCGTAGGCCATGAAACAGGTCTTTATAATTTTTAGAAGACTGAAATCATGCAAAGTATATTTTCTGATCACAATGGAATCAAAGTAGAAATCAACAAAATGGAATGAAACTATAAATCAGTATATGAAAATTAAACACCACACCCCTGAATAACCAAAGCAGAAATCACATGGAAAATTAGATATCTCGAGAAAAATGAAAACAAAAACACAATACAACAAAAGTTATGGGATTCAACAAAAGTAGAACTAAGAGGAAAGTTTATTGGTATAAACACTTACCTTAAAATGAAGAAAGATCTCAAATGAACAACCTAAATATAACTTAAGGAAGTACAAAAAAAAAAAAAAGAAAGAAAGAAACTAAACCCAAAGCTAGCAGAAAGAAGGAAATAAAGATCAGAGTAGAGATACACAAAATAGAGAAGAAAAAAACAATAGAATCAATGAAAGCAAGAGTTTTTTTTTGAAAATATAAAAAAGAAATTGACAAACATTTAGCTAGATGGACTCAGAAAAAAAAGAGAGAAGACTCAAACTAAAATCATAAATGAGAAAGGGGACAGAACAACTAATATTTGTTGGAGGAGTCATCAAGAGGATGTGACTACCTGTGAGCTGGACTCCGGCATGGGAGGCTTCTCACCCACTCCCCTGTCCTAGAAATGTACTTTCTGCCCACCGTTCCCCCAGCAGGAGCTGTTTCAAGAATGTAGCCCAGAGTAAGGTGTTGTTGAGACCATCTGGATGGTAATATGAATGAACCCTGTTAAGGTCTTTATACAGACTTTTAGGATTCCAAAAGCCAGGTGTGGAGATCTACTTGTCTTGCAGCCCCCAAGACAAGCCTTGTATGTAAGTTCTCTTTCTTATTAAACCTGCCACTTACCCATCTGGGGTGACCTGCCTCTTTCTTTGTTCTCTCTCTGCCCTCCATGTATGAGGGCCAGTTTTAGATTTCACCCAAAGAACTCCTGAGGTTGCAAACTAACAAATTTACAGAAATAAAAAGGATAAGAATGTACTATGAACAACGTGCACCAACAAATTATATAACCTAGATGAAATAGACAAATTCCTAGAAACAGACAACCTACCAAGACTGAATCATTTAGAAACAGAAAATATGAACAGATCTGTAACTAACAGGGAGAATCAATAATCAAAAACTTCCCAACAAAGAAAAGCTCATGACCAGACGGCTTCACTGGTGAATTCTACAAAACATTTAAAGAGAAATTAATACCAATCCTTCTCAAACTCTTCCAAAAATACTGAAGAGAAGGGGATGCTCCCAAACTCATTCTATGAGGCCAACATTACCTTGATACCAAAGTCAGACAAAGACACTACAAGAAAACTACAGATCAATATCCCTGATAAATACTGATGCAAAAATCCTCAAAATACTAAAAAATAGAATTTAACAACACATTGAAAGTATTATACACCATGACCAAGTGAGGTTTATTCCTTGAATGCAAGAAATTGTATTTGTGCATTGTTGGTGGCAATTTAAAATGGAGTAGCCACTATGGAAAACAGTATGGTGGTTTCTCAAAACATTAAACATGGAATTACCATGTAATTGAGCAATTCCACTTTTGGGTATTTGCCCCAAAGAACTTAAAGCGGGGTCTTGAAGAGATTTACACCCCTAAGCAGTATTATTCACAATAGCCAAAAGGTGAAGCAACCCAAGTGTCCACCGATGGATAAATAAACAAAATGTGGTATATACATAAAAAGGAAAATTATTTAGCCTTAAAAAGAAATTCTGATACATGCTACGACGTGAACATTTTTATTCACGAGGACATTATGCTAAATGAAATAAGCCAGTCACAAAAAGACCAATACTTTATGACTTCACTTATATGAGGTTTCCAGAGTAGCCAAATTCTGAGACGGAAAGTAAAATGGTGATTGCCAGGGGCCCAGGGAGAAGGGGAGGAGATAGGAAGTTAGTATTTAATCGGTACAGTTTCTGTTTTTTAGATGAAAAGTGTTAAGGAGATGAACAGTGGTGAAGATTGTACTTAATACCAATGAACCATACACTTAAAAATGGTTGATTGTTATGGAGTAAAAGTTTGTATACCCCACCCCCCCAATTTGTATATTGAAACTTTTACCCCCAATGTGATGGTATTTGAAGGTTGGGCCTTCAGGAGGGAATTAGGTTTAGATAAGGTCTGGAGGGTGTGGCTTATATGATAGGATTACTTTCCTTATAAAAAGAGGACAGACCAGAGCTGTCTCTCTCTCTCTGCCTGGGGAGGGAACAGCAAGAAGCAGGCCCTCTGCAAGCTAGAAAGAGGGCTCTCACCAGGAACCAAGTTACCCTGTATCTTGATCCTGGACTTCCCAACCTAAATAAATGCCTGCTGCTTAAGCCACCCAGTCTATGGTATTTTGTTTTAGCAGCTTGAGCTGAGACAGTAGCTAAAAAAGAAAAAAGCAGGAAGATACACAAAGAGTTATAAGTGTTGATCTTAGGAAGCTGAATACAGGAAAATCAAGGCTGTGATAATAGGCAACCTCTATTTTTCCTGTGATAAGGAAGATGTGTCATCTCCTGTAAGGAGAGGCAAAAAGACCAAAGAAAGGTTTGAATATAATTAGGATAAGTTTAGAGTACTTGATTAGTGTATGAGAAAGAAAGCCAACTAGGAACAAAAAAGTACCGAATCCAGTTGTCTAGACAAAGTTGGAATAAAGCAAGAAATTGGCAATATAATCTTTTGTGATATAGTTTTGGTATTTATGAAAGCCCACTGAAAAGCATATTCATGTGTGATATAGTTAATTTTACAAAGACATTCTTCTCAGAATGTATTCGAAATTATGTGTATTTAGATTTGCTAAACACCGAAAGTACTTATTATTTATAATTAATGATTATTTCCAAGATCTACAAAATCACTGAAAACCTAGGACAAATTATATTGAACCAAATCATGGACCGCCAGTATTACTTTTTGAAACTGTAATAGCTAATATTAACAGCTACTATTAATTGAATGCTTTAACCAGGTTCCAGGAATTTTGTTAAGTGCTTTACATGTCTTAATTCATTTAATCCTTACAATTTTATAAGACAAGTACTCTTATTGCCAAGGAATTGAAAATTCTGGACTTTCTAATAGCTAACATTTATTGGTGCATTCCTCCATGTCACATATCTGTACGTGAATTATATTAGTCTTCACTATTACCTTATGAAGTATTACTAGTACGTAAATTTACAAATATGGATACACAGGCATGAAGAGCCCTGGGTCATAGTGCAAGTAAGCCTTCTACCAGGACTCAAGCCCAGAAAGTCTACTGAATTCTGTTGTACTGATCCAGGTAGTGAGTACTATACTTGGTTCTGAATTGTTGGTGCAGTCTGTTAACCCTATTTTCATTTTACGTTAGCTTTAATAAATTATTTCTTCAGCCTCTAATTTGTTGTAATAATGTTTTGAGAGTCCAATCTTAGAAAAACTTACAAACCAAAAATATTGTTCTTAAAAACTACATAGGCTAGGGTTTACTGCTTACAAGCAAAGTGGTATACTTGTCTAAAATAGGACTACTAGAAAAAACAACTTCAATTCCTTTAAAGACATATTCCTGACAATGACTACTATTTTACGTTGAAACATTAGCAAAAGAGTGAGCTCAAGCTCTTTTCTTCAGAGTTGGAATCAGTAAGATGTTCTGTGTCTGCAAGACCGACCTGAACTCATCCATTGTTCAATGCGAATTACATTAGCTTTCAGTAATACTGTATCTCACTAGATGGCATTTCCAAGAGATTAGAAAATACTTATTTCTTAAAATAGGTTGTTGAACCTCATTCATATCCTTTATATGGAAATTCCAAACTGAGGGATTTCTTGAAGCCTATGTGCTAAGTCCACAGCTAAAGGGCACATTAAAAGAGTAACTCCTATCATATGTTTGTATCTCTCCAAATAGCTCTGTTCAAAAGTGGGTATCTGCAGGGTGGGGCTGGGAAGAAGGGTTCTTCATTTCTATTACCTTTTCCTTTATTCTTATCCCCTTCCAGGTCCCAAGTGACTATGGCCTCTCTCCATGGAGAAGTGGCAGGGGCCATGAATCCCCACTGCTCCAACAAGTGGTGGGGTCACTGTTCCTTCACATACTGTCCCCTTAGGCCTCTAGTCTATGGCCAGATGCACCAGTGGAGGGGGTGCGGCCTCTGGCATAGTCAAAGCTTAGCTCTTGCTACAGCATTTGGTCTTTTCCTTTCCACATGCTCAGAGATGTTAACCTCCCTGTACTTCCTGCTTGCCAGACACACCTCCATACAAAAATACACCATGCGGCTTTCCTTTGGAAGTGTTCCTCACCCTTTCTGGACCAGGCCTGTGACACTCTCTGGGAGTTCTCACAGAGAAACCGTAAGATATAGCTATCAGTAAGGGGTCATCAATTCTGTGTCCAGGGCTGTGGAAGGGTTGCTTCCTAACAGACCCCCAAATCTACTTTCAAGTACCTTCCCATTTCATTTCAGCTCCTGTGACCTCTTTATAACCACCAGCAGATTTGGTTTTTCAAGGGAGACAGATAGATATGGAAGCATGCTACACGATTATCAAAACGAAACATATATGCCCTTCTGGAAAAATTAGGTTAGCCATAGGTCTAGAATAAATTATCTGATACACACTTTGTGTTGGTCACTTATCCTAATTAATGCACTTTTTAAAAAACTTTTTTTTTTACGAATAGGTTTATAAAAGGCTAATCATTCTTACTAGTTTTTCCTTACAATCTATAATTTGAGTTCCTTATTCACTTCTTTATAATTTTATGTGAAATTTACTGCTAAATACTCAGACTTATATCCACACTCTTCTCCCTTGTTTGAAGGTTTAAAAATTATGAAGTCCATGTCACTTTACTTACCTCCAAGTCTTGCTCTGATGGAAATGTCTGGTATTGCCCTGGAATTCCATATCCTGTCCTGTTTTAGTTCTTCTAATAAAATGTTTTGCCTTTTCAGTGTTGTTTGAAATCCTGTGTCTGGCCTGGGAACTCGATGTTGCGGTTTCACATCACTGGAATCCACCAGGCTTGGTATGGTTCTGCCAATGCCGGGCTTTAAATCAGCATCGCCACCAGGACTCAAAAACCCGGAACAGGCATCACCCAAGGGCACATCATCCCGAAGTGGAAATAATGGATAATCTCGCCCATATGGTGGGGGATAAGGATAGTGTAAATGGTAGTCTGGCAGGATGGAAGGGGGATAAGGGTGAAATTTAAGAAAAGTAGGGTTGCATTTCTTTTCAATTCTGCCATAGTTATGTCTGTCTTCAACTCCTTTCACAAAAGGCATGTTCATTTTCCTTAAGAGATTATGGTAGTGTGGGTAATCTATATTCTCAACAGCCTTTTTTCCTGAAAGGATGGACCTTTCAGAGATACTTATCTTTCCAGGTTTGGACTGTGAATCCATATCCATGGCCTTTCTCTTTAGAATTTTGGATGACTGTAAATTAAGTGCTTCTGAAGACTCCTTTCTATTTAACTATAAAACTTATTATGTCCAATAATTGAGGATTGGTTAATCTAACATAAGGTTACTGAACTGGTTTTATAAATGTTGATAGTTTGTTTTTTTTTTTAAGGTAAATATTTTTTCTCTACCAAAAGAAGTATAGGGCAGTAAGGGACCAGGACAGAAAAAGCAAAACAAGAATCCTTGTTGCTTGGCAACAGCTAGAACTCTAACACATTGGACCATTTACTATATACGTCATAATTTAATTCTTAGGAAAAACAAAAATAGCCGTTAGTAATATTTTCATGATAGTTTCTTTCCCACTGTTCATTTGTTACTTATTTTTAAACGTTTCCCTAAGTTGAACTTTTATAAGTAAATGATATTCACTAAAGAGTATAAAGCAGTTAATCAAGTAAGAATATATTTTTAAAGTATATATCTGACTAAAATTATTTACATTATAGATATAATAAATTACAAAACTCATTACCTAAATAAATGTATATTTAAATGCAGTGCAAAGAATGAACAGGTATTATACCATAGTTAATTCAGTGCACCTAATTTTTAAGAAAAATAAGTAATTAGTATTCAAAGTACAAGTTCATCTTTAAAATGCTCTAAATTACCTTACCTTTTGGCTCCCAGCGTACAGAATAAGACCAATGGGATTTTTTAACTCATTTCAGAAAACTACAATAAGGTAGGAGCTATTAGGTCACATGTAAAAAAAAAAAAAGTACCATTACTATATTGGTCATTTCAATGAGATAATTTGGACTTGCATGAAAACTGCTACCACAGGAATTCCAAATATTGGAATTTGGGCACAGGGATCACACCATCCCTTCTGGGGTAAAACAAAACCAAACCACCAAAACAAAACAAAAACAAAAAAGCCCACGCAAACATGAATGAGAAACCTACTTTCGTATTTCCAGCAACTGGCTTTCCATCTTCAGATTCACAGCATACATGAACTACAATCTCCAATGTAACATCCTATTCTCAGGTCGAATATTAGGAATTTACACAGTAGATGAAGGTAGGAGGGACTGATGAACTGAAGCAAATTCTTTTACTTTTTTATTTTTTTTTTAGGATTTTATTTATTTGCGAGAGAGAGAATGAGAGACAGAGAGCACAAGAGGGAGGAGGGTCAGAGGGAGAAGCAGACTCCCTGCCGAGCAGGGAGCCCGATGTGGGACTCAATCCCGGGACTCCAGGATCATGACCTGAGCCGAAGGCAGTCGCCTAATCAACTGAGCCACCCAGGTGCCCGAACTGAAGCAAATTCTTGATGGCAGAAAACAAAGAGTCAATGACAGTCAAAAGTCCATCTGGTATTGTGTGGGTTTACCTGTTTATAAAAATTAACAGGAGGGGCGCCTGGGTGGCTCAGTTGGTTAAGCGACTGCCTTCAGCTCAGGTCATGATCCTGGAGTCCCGGGATCGAGTCCCGCATCGGGCTCCCTGCTCGGCGGGGAGTCTGCTTCTCCCTCTGACCCTCCTCCCTCTCGTGCTCTGTGTGTCTCATTCTCTCTCTCTAAATTAAAAAAAAAAAAAATTAACAGGAGCTTTAGCAGGGCATATACCTAGATGTAGTGATTGGGCACTATTCAGTAATATGTATTTATTGGATGTGCTCAAAAAACCTGCAAGGTCTTGACCAGAATGCTGGCTAGATCTAAATCCTACTAAAACATACTCGAGCATAGTAAGTTTATTTTTTTAAAGATTTTATTGACCTATTTTAGAGAGAGACAAGAGAGACAGAGGGGCAGAGGGAGAGGGAGAATCTCAAGCAGACCCCATCAATCCCCCCACCCCAGCGGGACTGATCCCAGGACTCTGAGATCACGACCTGAGCTGAAACCAAGAGCGGAGGCTTAACCACCCGAGCCACCCAGGCGCCCCTCCAGCACAGTAAATTCAATTCAGAACCTTCTACAGATAAAAATCTCTCAAGATGTAAATCTACTCAGTGGAATAAACAGGGCTGTGTACAGTTTACCAAACAATTAACACATGCATAAAAATAGCCAGAAAACTCAAGGAACATCCCGATCCTGGTCCAGAACGAGCCCCATTTCTTTCTGCTTATTCTTTCCTTGCTCCCTTTTTTCCTCCTTCCTTCCTTTTTTAAATTTATAGCGATCTGAGCGCGTACTGTGTGCCAGGAACTATGTTTTGGTTGAGGTTAAAATGGTGACGAAATGGCCAAGATCCTCGCCTCGAAGGGTCAGACACGAACTCGGAGGTCCGGCCCGCTGCCGACAGCCGGGCGGTGACGGCTGTGAACGGCACCCGCGCGAAGGCGTTCCTTCAGGAGGCTGGGCTGTCATCTGAATCCCGTCCCAGCCCCCGGCCCACCGGCGACGGAGCGCTCCTCTCCTCCCAGCGAAGGCAACGACGCCCGTCATTCAGCGGCTCACACTCCCCTCCGGCGCGCCGGCTTCAGCCGCACGAGGTGCGTTCGCGCCGTAGCTCCGTTCCCGCCGAGCCCGTCCTTCCCGCCGCGGGCCCGAGGCACGACCCTCTCAACACGTTCCGGCCGGAAATGCAGACAGCGGTCTCCACGTACTTCACGTACAGGCCGAGCGCCGCACGGAAGTCGACCCGCTCTGTCCTGCCCACTAAGCCTCTCTGCGGGGCTTACGGGTCTGACTTCCGGCTGCACCGCTGCGCGTGCGCCGACCCCCACCCGGGGGCCATCCATCCACGAAGCTGGGGCAGGTGACGTCGAGGCCAGGCAACCCGCGAGGGCGGGACGCGCGCTCGCGCGCTCGGTTCCCACAGCCCCCGTGCAGAAGCTCGGGCCGCCAGCTCCGGAAACGGCCTCTCTCGGCCCACCGACGCGCACTCAAAGCGGAGGGCGCGGGCTGTGGGGTCCGCGGTTCTTCTCCAGCACCAGAACCTTCGGCAGGGCCCCTAATTGGCGCCCAGGTTCCGAAGGACCGCTCACGGACGGCACGGACGGCACGGACGGCGGCGCTGCGGCCCTCAGTTGGCGTCGAAGCACACGGCCCAGGCGACAGCCCGCCGCGCCCCGCCCCCGCCCCGACGGAAGTGGCGGCCCGTCCTTCCGGCCTTCCTTCCGGCCCGCCGCCCGCCGACTTCCGGCCGGCAGGTGGGCGCGCGCCGCATAACGATCTTATGCGCCGACGGTCGGCAGGCGGCGGCGGCGGCGGCGAGTGGATGGAGGCCTCGGCCACCGGCCGGCGGCGACGGCAGGGCTGGCGGCGGACCCCGGCCGCAGGCTCCCCGCTCACCTGGGCCGCGGTCGTCCTCCTGCTCTCCGCCTTCGTGGCGCGGGCGTCCCCGTCAGGTGAGGCGTGGGCGCCGCCGCCACGGGCTCCGCGGGGCGCCCCTCCCGCCCGGGGCTGGCCTCCCCGGGTCACGTGCGCCCGCCGAACCGAAGAAGCGCCGGTACCGGCCGGAGGGGGTGTGTTCGCGTAAACCCTGCAGAAGACCTTGCGCTCGCGCGTGGTGCCGGTGACCGGAGAGACTGTTGCCGCACGGGCAGAAGCGCTCCGGGACAACCTCCGTGCACGGTGTCCAGTTAGCCTGGCTGCGAATCGCCTCCCTGGCCCGCCCCCCGGCTGTCCCGCC